AACATTTCAATTTGGGATAATTGCAACAAAAGCTCCAAACCTTTAAAACACAGACAAATTTTTTTCAAACATTTGATTTGTTGCAGATGTCACCCTTAACCTTTTGAAACGTTGCAGGAGAGACCCTTTTGGACGGTTTCCATCCAAAATACCGTCAGTTGACCCAAAAATTGATTTTGGCCACATTTTAATCAATTTTAAAAGGCAAAATGGTAATTAGCTATTATTCATATTAAATAATTAAATAATTAACAAAAAAATATTAAAAAAGGTCATCCAATTTTTGCTCCAAGCCAGGGAATGTCAGTAAATTTTGGGTGATCTATGCTGGAGCCTAGAATAATGTCGATGCATCGGGGTTACAATTGTGATAGTAAGGTTGGATTTGATTGGAAGTGCGCAACCAAATACTCCTGTAATGCTGAGTACAAGATCAACAGCGTCCCCCCTTGCTTCAGTATTTATATGTGTGGGCTGGTGTTCGAGGAACTCATTGCTCAAGGTGAATTGAACGAGGTGGAGAAGAAGAATGTGAAGAAGGCACATTTTGTATGACACCATTGACAGGAGCAAAGGGTTCTTTAAGTGTCCAGTGGAAAAGAGTGTGAGGCATTGATGAATGTGCCACTTACTTTGGCAAAGCTGGAGTTGGAAGCTAAGTTTGGGAAGGAAACAGTCAAGGAGAAGATGGTGCAGTTGAGGAGGCACAGGTCGATTGGCGACATGAGAGCTTCAGTATACAATGCTATGCCTTTGGCTGGGGTTAAGAGAAGAGAACAACTGGTTATGGTTTGGGGTGGGGTTGATTTTTATTTATTTATTTAATGTGATTAATAGCTAATTACCATTTTACCCTTTTAAAATTGATTAAAATATGATTAAAATCAATTTTTTGGATCAATTGACGGTATTTTGGTTGGAAACCATTCAAAGGGGACTCTCATGCAACGTTTCAAAAGGTTATGAGTGACGGCTACAACAAATCAAATGTTTAGGGAAAGTCTGCCAGTGTTTTAACTGTTTGGGACTTTTACTGCAATAAACCCTTTCGATTTTGTAATTTGAATATAAAATAAGGTCCATTATGGGTTGGATCCCACCAATTTTCCTAACTCTATGACTTCATTTTTCAACGTGCATTGCATATTACTCATTTCGTTAAACCGTTTTGACAACATGTGTCCACTTTGCTTAGAAAAAGAAGCTTCATCGTGCTCCATTGCGTGTACCATTTTGCGTCTTTTTCTTTGATAATTCCCATTTTATGAACAATCCTTCTAAGTCAACGATAAGGTATAGGCTCGATTACTATTTTTTAATCACAAAAATCTTTTATGCTCTATATTTTAATTACATTAAACCCATGTTTGTCTATCATTTTTCAAAATATTATTTTCTACAGTAATCAATCTCCGACACACATTCAAATAATAAAATATTCTACACATAAGCCAATAAAGTTTCTTTCAATTTTAACCACACATTCTCCAAAAAATACTATTCATTACACAATTTTCATCACAATAATGGTAGACAAACAGGCACTAAAGGTCATGAGCACTTTGTCCCTATCGAATTTATGTCATCATTTTTTTCATCTCATTAAACTTTTCATTAATTAGTACATTATATCTCCAATGAGAGTTTTCATCTAATAAGTCCATTTAGAAGGGGGAAAATGACTTATTTGTCCCTCCTCTTTTAAATAAACTAAAAAAATACAAAAAAATGACAGAATATTTGTCCATAATATTAAAGTACGTCAACAAAATATTTGGATATAAACCATCATCGAGACTATATGTGATAATTAATGAAACATTTAAAATAAGAATGCGACAAAAAATGTGAGAAAACAAATTAGCTATTTACGTTTTCCTACTTTTGAGCGGGCTAAAAGGTGCCAACTTCTTTTTAGTTAGGTTGTGCTTGATAGACAAGTTTTTCCATGCAACTAGGAATTTATTTTCCATTCCTACCAAATGGCTTGTTTAATAGACAAGTTTTTCTTGACAATTACTTTTCCTCTTGGTGCCCATACGTGCTCCAATGCCTTGAAATTAGGGAAAACTGAATTCCAGGGTTCTGATTTTAATTATTATTATTGCAATGGAAACAAATTTTATAATCAATTGTTAAAAAAATTTAATTTAATGGACAATTTTCATGTAAAATAAAAGTCAAACGAACACTAAACTTTGCCAAAAAAAAATTTCATTTTTTTATTTTTATTTTTTGGCAATGGAAACAAATTTTATAATCAATTGTGGAAAAAAATTATCACTTCAATTGACAATTTTCATGTAAAACAAAGCCAAACGAATACAAAATTTAAAAAATTTTCGGGTATAAAATTATACCAATCAAACATACTTAATTAACAATTTTCTGAAAAATAATTTCTAGACAATTACTGTCCCTGAAATTCATTTTCTTTCCACCCATTTTTCACCATTACAATCAAACGAACCCTTATTGTTCCATATTTCTTGTTTAAAGTAAAATCATACTAATGGATTAACAACAAATACATGTTCTCAACCATATAAATTATCGTCGTTGAAAGTGTAATGTCATGTCTTGAGTACTAACTAAAGTATAATTCGCATTAACTAGTTCAATATGTATGCTAATATGTGCTGTCATGATGGATCATTACACTTAGCAAGTAAAGAAATTTCTTCACATTGGATGGTAGATGGTGATTGAAGAATCAGGGCACGTATAACTTGTTGCCACATTTGCACCTCCACGCCTCGGGATAGTACTCGGCAATCACCGGTCTTCCAGGCGGCACTGGCACATGTACCGGCTTGCACGGCGTACATTTACCGCATTTGGATATGCAACGAGGTGGCGACGATCCCGGCCCACCCAATAGCCTTCTAGCCCCACTCATGCACCCTTTAGCCATGTCCCAATTACTATTTTCCTCTACGGTCTTCTTCTCTAATTTCTGCCACCAATCATATAAAAAACTTGGTTAGGAAAAGGATAAATAGTGTAGAAGATATTTGGTAATGTCATCTCAGATTGACTTAGGGGGCCAGGGTTCACGGGGGTGTAGCAGAGAACATGGCTACACTCATTACGCCGATCGAAGTTGACATTTGACTCGTTTGAAAACGACAAACGCCTCTTTTTTACAGTGCTAGTAGATATCCTGCGCTTTAGTAAAATTTAAAAATGATAATAAGAAATATAATTATTTTATATGCATTTTTTATTTATCTAAAATTTAATATATGCAATACTATCAGGAAATTTAAAGTTGATTGACGGAGAAATAATTTTTCTGATTTTTTGGCTTCTATTCCATCAAGCAATTTTTATTTCAGCGATCAAATTATCTCAACATATCAATGTTTAGAGTCCGTTTGTTTCTCATTTTTCATCCATAAAATGTAAAATACGATAGTTATTCATCATATCAAGCCATCAATTTTGAATTTTATCTCTTATATGGGGCCCAATAACAGCTATATTTTTCATTCTCGTTCTACAATAATGAAAATCAAATGGACTCTTAACCCTAAAATGATCATTCACTATTTCAAGTCAAGGGTAAAAATTGGAAATGGCGAAATGTATTTCTTGGGTCGTGTAAGGAGAATTGGTTGAATTTGACATGTGATCGAATATCTTATGCTCGGTTTATTTCGAATTAAAATCAGATTTTAATCTAAATCAAAGTCAAATGATCAATATAAACCACATCGTTCATGGATTCCACGGCTTTTCAACTACACTTTCCAAAAATTTCTATCACAATTTACTAAAATTCTAATTTTAATCCCCACCAAACACTCACTTAACATGATCCCCTAATTTTAAATTATCAAATTCTACTAAATTTTTTATTTTGATCTACACCTGCACTAAGTCTTTTTTGATCTACAATCCCCTAATTTTAATAAATATTTTAGTAGACAATTTTTTGCAATAATTAAGCAATTGTACTTGCCTGCAAGTAAATATCAGCTTCATGAGGCAACACACAACTGGTTCCTGCAAAACGAACACCGACGGAGAGAATTTCTTCACAAATTAGATAATTTTTTCAATATATGGACAGCCCGTACAAAGGTAAAAGGGCAAAAAGAAAGAGCCAACAAAAATTTCAAATAAATTTTTTAAAAGATTGTTATAAAAACCCTCCAAAATTGGCTGAAGAACTTTAGATGAAGCAACAAAATTTTGTATTATTACCTAAAATAGTTTCCTGGTTTCTGGCACCGTGAATTCCACGCAGACAAGAACAGCAGCAGCAGCAAAAGAAGAACAAGCAGCAAATAAGAAACTGAAGATTTAATCTGTTGCCCATGAATCTCAGTCTTGTAATTTTCCAGCAAAACTCCATTAACAGGAAGAAGAAATAATCTTGAATAAAAAGTGAACTCTTGCAGTTTTTTTGTGGGTTTCCAGCCAAATTCTATAGCGTGTAATACCAGTAAAACTTCCAAGTCTTCAGTCCCAGCCAGACTGTAATTTCTCACGCCCCATGCAACAAGAAATTCTAGGCAAGACCAGAAGAACCATACCCCTATAGTCTACACTTCTCAGTTTTTACAGACAAACCGAATATGGACTCTGTGTACGGGTGTGAGTGTGTGTGTGTCTCTGCTGGTGGGTTGGAGTAGGGTTCAAAAAATGGTGCCGGGAAAACTAGATTTCAAGTACAGATTTCACTTTGCAGTGCCAAATACACAGAATTCAGAGGTAGGTCGGTGAGGGGGAGAGGGGTTTAGATGGTCACTTCCTTTGCCTTGCCATGTTTAGAGCACAGATTCTCTAGCAGGCTTTTACTTCTTGTCTTCCACAATTCCCAATCCCAGTGACACCCAACAACTCCACACTCATTGCAGAAACCCCTGCTGCTTTCCCCTTATCCCCAAGTCCCTTCAAATATCAATAATACACCCTCTTTTTTTCCTTTATTTCTTCAAGAAAAATTTATACTACTAATTACATTATATAACTTTAATTAGACTTAATTACCTTTCATTTTTTAGAGTTTACTTTTTCTCAAACTCATTTTCTATCATACTACTAATTACATTATATAACTTTAATTAGACTTAATTACCTTTGTTTACTTTTTCTCAAACTTATTTTCTATCAAACACTTTCTGAAAACCACAATTTTTATCAACTTTTCAATCACATATTTTATCGTCATTTATCAATTTCTACTAAAAATCTAACTTTTAACTCACTCAAACAAGGGCTTATTGTCATATATAAATATGTAAATACGCTATTTATGAATTTTCGACATCTCCACCAACTAAAAATTAGTGATGCCTACACGATTTTGCCACATTACTGTCGGAACTTAGTTAAAGAAAACCTGTAGTACCAAATTGAATTTGAGTTCATTGGTATTAACTACCAGTAGATTATATATGTAGTGTTTACTGTTTTCCACATATAATTAATTATAGTATATATATAGAAAAACATTAAAAAGCAAGTCATGAAAGTAGTTCTTGAAAACAATATTCCAATTCACAAGAAAGGAAATTGTAACTTTAATTTGTTCAACCAACTCATTTAAATATTAAAATATTGGAGACATAGTACACATATATTTAACATTTCACTAAGTTTCTCGTGTCCAAGTTCCATTTTTTTTTTAATTTTAATTTATGAAGGCACATTATATATATTCCCCAACTTTAGAAGAAACGAGTGATAACGAGGCTTGAACCATACAATAATTTACGACGAGATAGTTCAATAATTTCTTGTTATTCTCCATCCATCCATCCATCACTTGTTGGATTCCAAAGGCAAGGAGAAGGAGACAAAACATTAAGATCAAGAATTTGGTACGTCAAATTCATGGGTTCTGAACCTGTTCATGCATAGTGTACTTTAAACAAATATCATGGAATTTTTCACTAACGTTGCTCGATCCCTATACAGCTTTATGAAGTACATACAATGTTTGCACTGCTAATTCAGTGAAAAAAATAGATTGTTTCACAGTTATGATTGAAGCTTGCAAAATTTTCTACAGATGGAGACCGTTTGGTGCATTTGAATGTGTTGTTATTTCTAGATTTGGTGCATTCCAATGTCTTTTTAGCTGTTTACCTTCAAAACATTAAGGAATTGTATTACATCTAAAAGCTTAAAGAATGATAGGTAGGGATAATATTTCATGACAAAAACACTATTTGATGGATGTGACATGCATGTGTACATCCATCCGCTAATTAATTTCCACGACCATGTTAGATTAGACTTTTGGATATTGAATCTAGATTTGGACTGGTTCCATAGCATGCTCATCGCTATCCTATGGAGTAAACGGGGGAGGGGAGAGCGAAACTCTCTTTCTCAAAGGCTATATTTATGCTAGCTCCCAAAGGTCAACTCGTTTTTCACGTTCTTTCATATGGCGTCTCAGGGCCCTTATGATGCAGCACAAGGTAGTGAACTACTTGTGTTAGCATGGAAGTTAGCCTGATAGACCGATTCCATTATGTTAATAGGTTTCCAAACCTTCCCCTTACTCTATAAAGACCTTTTCAACTCAAAATTGTGTATGCATTCTTGATTTCTTTGAAAGTTCAATCATTGCTATTGATGTCATTCGCTATTGTTCACTATTATCATTAATTTTTTCGCTAAAATAATGGAGAGTAAGTAAAGGTTCAATGAAATTAAATTGAACTCACTAAGAATCACGTAGCCTATCAGTAACGAATTTAATAACTTAATTTTGATTCCTTAAAGAGGTAACAATTGCAAGAGATTGAATAGTGTTAGGTTTTAGAAGTTTTCGTAATTGATAATTTTGTAAACAAAAGAACTGAATTGTACTATGTTTAAAAAGTCATGAGTAATGTACAAATAGTTGAAAATATGGTTATTAGGTCTAGGATTTGAGAATGGCAAAAAGAGGAAAACGGCACGAATTTTCGCTAGGCTGTCAACAATGTTTGGCTCGAACTACAAAAGTAGAAACATCGTCGCTGGACTGTTGCCCTACTTCGCTAGAGCAACAGTCTATCATTCGACTGTAGCTGTGCCCTCAGATTTATTCCGGCAACTTTTTACCCGGCTCATTCGTTGTTCTAACCTACATATATATACTAAAACACTTCCGTATGAAAATTTATGAGGTTGAACATTGAGATAACTTCATTTGTGAGAGATTCATTCGATTTTATCTTTCAACCTTCATCTATTTTGATTGTTTTGGTGAGAAAAATATTGTTTCTATAATCCAAATACCAAACTGCTTTTCCTCTACATCTGGTCAGAGTTTTGAAAATCGAGAAAGTTTGACTGGAGTTCCAGTCTGTGGAGAACGCGGTGTTATTTGTTGATCTACGGGAAATAAACGATTCCACAAGGTTAGGAGTGTTACAGGGTAACAGATTCCACGAAGAGTTTTGGCAACAGCAGTTAAGGATTGGTGCAGGGGAGCACGGGATCCAGGGAGAGCTGTAAGGAGTGCAGTCGAGTAATCAGATAGTACGATTCGTCTAATTTGATAGATTGTAAGTTGTTTGAATTATTTATAGTGAATTGTCTGGCAAAGTATCCGGAGTTTTTCCCAGTTGGGTTTCTCCGTAATCATCCTGGTGTTGGTTTATGCTTTCGTTATTATTTATTGATTGATCATATACACTGCGGTATTCAAACTTAAGACTATAATGACTTGCATGTTTTGTTGCTGTTTAATTCGTAAAATATTTTTAATTTCGCATAATATACTTATTCACCCCCCTCTAGGTATTATTATGGTCGAACTCCGTAACTTTCAAGTAGTATAACAAATTAAATTTCGATAATAGTAATTTATAGTGTAACTTATCAGAAAAAGAAAAAAGGTCAATAAAGCAATACATTTAGTTTTTGGGATTGACAGTTTCGAGCAAAGCTCCCGGCAACAGCCAACAACAATGTGTAGAGGGCAGACATATATTCTTGTTTTTAATATTGTCAAATTCGACACGAATGTTTCAACCACATAAAAAAGGTAAAGGAAAAGAAAGTCTTTGGAATTTTGTATTCTTCGAAAACTTAAGAATTAGCTGTTTAAAATTGACTTTAAAGTGAGAACTTTTCACATGGAGTTCCTAGAGTAGCTGGAAAGAATTGGAAAGAGTTTTGGTTCGAATTGCAACTGTGCTTAATCTGCTGATGGCACACGGGAAAGCAATATAAGCAAGCAGGCCCCACTATACAGAGACACAACTAGCGTATATGTATACTAAGCGCTCGTTTGAGCCTCATTTTTTTTGCTAAGAACGCATTTTGGAATAGTTAATTAATAGAGAACGTTTGGTTAAAAAATAAGGAAAAATTTTGGATTTACGTGTAATATTATTTTATTGAATAATGCGTGATTGGAAATAAGATGAAGAAAAATGTATTTTGAAAATAACGTTGATCAAAATGAGGGCAAAGCAGAAATTTTTCCTTTTCACTGATATATAAGTGGCAGAATTTGAACCACAAATATTTTTCGTCAGCAATTCGATAGTAATTAATTTCATTGTTGATAATTTACTTTTTCTTATATAAAATTGACAAAAAAAAGTAATGGTTCACACTAATCCATTCCTAATACATCGCTGATAGCGACGACATTCGTGAGTCAGTAATTTTCCATCGCTACTACCTCACATTCTAGTGGTATGTACGTAAACATTGAGTTTTAGTTCCGTTTTAGAAGGAATTTAAGTCCTTGTATGTTGATTATCAGACTTGTATATGTTGATTACAATTTTTATTTTCAAACGATGTTGGATTTTACTCTTAAAGTGCTTTTAAAATATGATGACTTGTCTTAGAAGATATTGATCTTGAACTTTGATAATTGTATTTTACAAGTTTATCTAGGCTTTTAAATCTAATGAATATTGATTATTTGACCAATACCTGCTTAATCAAGCATGTATTGCTTTCATAGGTGAAATTCCTGCTCATGGGTGAATTAAGCATAGAGGAAGAGTTTTGGAGCTTAATTTAGAGAAAATAGTGGAGTTTGCATGCTCCGTGGAAAGCTTTTGTGAGTGTTATTGGATGGTTTCTCAAATTTCGGGACCAAATCCTACATTTGAAAAGTTTGTGGACCAAAGAAGAACAAATAAGAACTTGAGGACCAACTCAAACATTCTCAAAACTTGGAGGAACAAAGGCGTATAAATAAAAGATGAAGGACCAATCTGGATATGTTTAAACCTTAGATGACTAAATTGGACGAACCTAGAAGTTAATGGATTGAATTAAATGATGAATGGAACTTGAAGGACCTCCCTTACAATTTCATAACGCCAAGGCTCACTCTTGGGTGAATGCTGC